CATCAAGTGATAATATCACTCACATTGCAAATGGCTATCATAATCAAAATGAAGAAAAAGAAAAAATATGTGAGACTTACCTGATAAAGCTTCTCCAAGTCACAAGAATCTGGTTGCTTCAAAAATATAGCATTAATGGCTGACTTCAGCTTTGCCCATGTTTCCTCCTCAAAATTCGTAGGTAATGTTGGTTTTGCTACAGAAACAAGACAAGAAGTTAAAGTTGCATCAGACAGCTTTGTGAATATATGCTCTAAATAGTTTCCTTTTTAGCAAAGCTCTTCTAGTTTCCTACGATTGGTTCACATAAACAACATGGTTTTGGAGATATAATCTGATTTCAAAATATAAAAGAAACTTCAAACCTCATTACAATTCCTTGCAAGTAAACTTACTAACAACAGTCACCTGCTAACTAAAAGCATATTTAGTTGTTTAGGAAGATGAAGTAACTGCTTATACTTATCCAAGCTCGCACCATAGATGCTTACAGAAAAATGGTCTACAAGAGGATAGAAAAGAACTTTTCAAAAACCTGAGTGAGTTTCAGAGTATGTCTCCAACACAATATTCAATCTACATTTTCCTTTGATAAATTAACAAAAAAAAGGCCAAACTGAAAAACATAAAAAATGAAGGAAGGAACGTTCTTAGCTTTCCATGTAGAGTTGCAATACGTAGTAGCCCCACATCTCAAAGGCAAGAAAACGGAGAACGTAACTAACAAGTAAATTAGGACCCTGAATTTGTTTAACATAATAGATTGCCTCAGAAATACCCATACCAACTTCAAATTATCATAAAATAGAAGGTCCAACTTTAGTAAATGGTTGAAGTCATGACCACATTACGCCGACAAAAGTAACACTCCATAAGATCAGCTAATAGAACTCCATAAAACCTTAGTTCAAAGCTAAATAGGGAGTGATTGAAAGTACTTGGCTATTAATAGATCTCACAAAAAAAAAAAAAAAGAAACAATAAAACGAATTAACCAGTACCAAGATCCTAAAATCGAACAAAACTTAAAGGCTTCTAAATTTCGCCTCCTCTAATCCCTAATTTTTCACAAAAAAAAACGACCCAACAACCAAAGCCACTCAATTTCTAAGATCAAACTCTCAAATTAATTAAAAGCGGCAATTTTATAAATGACACAGAAAAAAAATTTTCACAAAAAAAAAAAAATCAAATGAGATCAAGAATCAAGAAACCCAACCTTTAAAGAGTTTGATGACAAGCTTTTTGGCAGGTTGAGGTGGGGTAGCCTTTTTGCGAGACAAATTAGCGGCGGCGGGAGCACGAGCATCGTTAGACTTGGAATCATCGTCGAGGGCCATAGATGAAGGGTCGAAAAGGACGTCGTCATTGTTGTGGTGGTGGTGGTGAAGGCCGTTTCTGTTTGGGTCGAGAGAGCATGCCACGGCTTGGGACTTGGCTTTCTTCATTGGAGGTTGGAAGTGAGAAGAAGAAGAAGCAGTGGCGTTGGAATTAGCGTCGCGGATGGAGCGTTTGGTGGGGGGGAGAGACATGAAAGTGATCAAGACTCAAGAGTGCATTGTAAAATCTTTCAGCATCTTTTATTTATTTCTTTAATCAATTTTTTTCTTCTCCCTTCTTCTTTCTCTCATTACAGTGTTCCCTTCTAGAGAGAAAGCGGAAGATTGCGGAAGATTTGTGAACGCAGCAGCAAAAGATAACAATTCGTGAGAGAGAGACAGAAAAGGGTGTAAATAATTTTTTTTGGGTTATATAGTGTTTGGTGCAGGCAGCGCTGAGGGTGAGAGGGCTTGGTTCGGTGGATGCCTACGCCGATGGTGAAATGGTGATGACTGATTGGGCCATTGGAGTTTGCTTATTTTATTGGGGTTGACCCAGTAATTATAGGCCCATTAAGCAATCTACACTGGACCAAAAAAGGTGAAGCCTGAAATGGAGACAAAGCGGGGGTAATGTAGCCCATATTTGATTTGGGCTGAACTTAAAGTGTTCCCTCTCCTTTACTTAAGTCCTGAAATAAATAGTCATCCATGGGCTACAATTTACATAATTTCTTTTTTTTTTTTATTCGTTCTTTTTAATTCTAACTAGAATAAAGCAATATTTAATCATAGATCTAAGATCACACATGTTCAATATCTAATGATCTTTTGATAACCTTAATCCCACCTCTATTCTTTTTATATTTTATTTAATTCTCTTGTTAGGTTTTTTTTATTTGAAGAGGAGAGAATTTGAACTTTACTCATTGAGTATAAATTATGTACTAATGAATTGAATTAAATGTTTAAAATATCTTCTATTATGACTTTTCCTTTTTAGCTTAGTGATTAAAAGATCAATTGAAAGTCATGTAAGGCGTGAATTCTATCTCGCCATCTTCCCTTCCCCCTTTGTAAAGGCACTAGCCCTTCGTTGCAACAAAATATATATGTATATATATATATATATATATATATATATATCTTCTGTTATGTATTTCAACTACTCAATTCTAATACAAATGTAAATTTAATTATTGAAAAAGTTTGTCCGGAATTTTGGAGTTAAGGAAGTAGCTTCGGTAATTAAACCAGGCTCGTTGTGAAATTTCCGGGATGCATGTAATCACCAACAGCCGAAAGGTTTGACATGTAGCTTGAGGGCAAAGGATTTGACAGTCATTTCCACTTTCCTCTTTTCATACCTACTTGTGGAACTTGAAACCCAAGGGAGTCGTGGCGGCCGCATGCTTATTCCTTGGATGACCAAACAACCTCCATTTTCAACTTTCTCAACGTAACTTCCATTCCATTCCTTTGATCGATCCTTGCAATTCCATCATGTCTGTCGGGCTCTAGTTTTCACATGTTTTTAAGTTCCCTTCCCTATTGATTTTTTCTTAATATTTGTGGGATGAAGTATTATTTGACAGATTAAAAAGGATAAATTAACACATATAATACTATGTAAGGATGAAATGTGAATGGCGAGCTAAAACCAGGAGAAATTTCTAGTGACGATGCATACATCTTTCAGCGTCAAAGGAATAAGATTTGGCTTGCCCCATTCATCTTTGCTATATATGCCCTTTACCTTTCTTTGGCAAGTGTAATACAGCATCTTGTCCATACCATTTCCTACATGATAAATCCAACTATCAAACTAAAATCTTTAATTTAGGAAAAAACATAACATACATTGTACAATATCAATAGATTTTTTTTATCCTAACATAAAAGGATTAATGCACATTAGTAATTAATTATATGGTTCAGGTCGGTTAACGGGAGTTCATCTACATTCATTAAAGATAATTAAAATACCATTTAAAAATTTTACATTAATTACATTAATTATATATAAAGGTTTAATCAAATTACCTTGGTATAAAAATAATTACACCTTTCTATAATTTTTTGTGCAAATAATGTTTTAGGAAATTAACCATTGGATCTTAATAAAATGCCTAAATTTGGCCTATTCGTAAAGTTTCAATCTAATCAAATATCTCCGTTACATGGAGAATATTGCATTTTCTAATATAATTTTTTTTTTCGTCACAACATTTTCTATTATAAGTTTAGTGGTTGAAATTTCATGATCTAACTAATTAAATACACTATAAATTTCTATGATTTGATTAACAAAATATAAATCAATATAAAAATTATGAAAATAGGTAAAAGTACTTAATTTTACATCTATATATCTCTAAAAAATTAAAAAGTTTTCATCTTTTTGAGCAAAGGATGCAAATCAAATTAACAAAACTTGCTCCCACTCCTCCCAATCAATAGATGGATTATGAGATCTTTAATCTCGAAGTGCATGCCCTGTTTCAGTTAAGGTTGACAACGAGTCAAGTCAGACGAGTTTTTGCTGGCCTCAAACCCAACTCAAATTTATATTTATAAAATTCAAATTCAATTCAAATTTTTTTTATTTTTTTCATATCCGACCCGACCTTATATTATATAAATTGTACTCGATTCAACTTGAAATTAATAAAATATTAATTTTTTAAATAAAAAATATTATTTTTAAAATATAAATATATAATTATATAAATACATATAAATTAAAAATTAATTTTTATATAATATCAGATTAGATCGAATTTACCTAAAATCTAAATATGACCCAATCTTGATTTTTTTTAACATTATTCAATTAGATTTGACTCAAAATTTAATTTAAAAAAAATATCATATAAAATTGGATCAAATTTGAAATCCGTTATGGGTAAGTTGGACTTTAGACCCTAGTTTTAGTAATTATATATACTATTAAAAATACATGAAACGTTTGTCCTGAGCCACGACTAGCTACCAAATCATTGCGGAATATTGCTCCAGCTGTCAAGAAACTTCCTGCTGGGATGTCCTTCTGGAATACCACTGCACAAGTTGTTCATAGCTTTGATAGGAAAATGACAAAGTTTTAGTTAATTTGACATGAGAATCTTCACTACTTCAAAAAAAAAAAAAAAAAAAAAACTAATCATCCAAGCACCATGGATCTAAGATTCTCTTAAATATGTCAATATATATATATAGCTCGATTTCATAAGCTAACAAGTGGAAGAAAACTAAATAAAATGGTTTATGCAGGGATCGTACAAATAAAAAGAATATTGAACTGCTCTATTAGTCAAATATTCAATCTTTGACTCTGTATAGCTCATTTTATTATTGTATGAAACGTAATTTGCAAAAAAAAAAAATTATTTCATATATATAGTCATTTAGATTGTCTATCGTGGTCAAATATAATACAATTTATCATGTGTGATTGATTTTACGTAGCGAGTGTTTGAATATAAGTGGAAATATGATGTACCTCTAAAGTTGTGGTAATAATTTTGTCTCTGATTCCAGCACGTGAATGAATAAAAAACCCACGGAAGAGGAAATGACTTTCCACAATTCTGATCCTCGTATGCGTGCTTTGACCAAGACTTCTTTTGTTTTCCCCTGTTCACAAATGTTGGACCTTTGGTTTGACTCAGACTTCGGTCCTTCCAAACCGCATATAATTGCCCTTTTAGCAGTCAACTTGGTTCCATTTCTCCAATAACTGTTCATATCGGGTCCCCAAGCCCCATCATGTCGGCCACGGCCTCTTCTTTTTTCCTATATAAAACCATCCCCCAAAACCGTCGAACCCACAATTTTTGTAACTTGCATTATATTTTTCAAGCGAAGAATTAGCTGTGATAATTCCCGACTCATATATTTTTTGTTCATTTTCTTTCAATGGCTGCTACCGGTTCATCTAATGAAGATGTTAAGGTAGTGCTAATTGATACTCAGTATGTTGAAACTGACCCAGTCAGCTTCAAATCTGTAGTTCAAAGGCTTACAGGGAAGGATTGTAACATTGCATGGATAATGGAGAGCTCGTTTTCCTGTAGAAAAACCGAAACAAAGGTTGCTGTAAAGGGTGCAGCTGAGGGGACATGTGGAAGTGGCGCTATGGGCGTTGGCTATGGTGGTGCTGGTGGTGGCCTTGGTGTTTCCATGTTAACTAAGGGTTCATCCTTTAAAGACTTGGATAGAATGATCTTGGAGGCGCCGCCAGTGGACGAGTTGAAGTGGCTGTGGACAAATTACCTAGAAATTTGAATTATTTTCAAATGTACGTGTGTGTGTGTATATATATATATATATATATATATATATATAATCCTTTTTTATATTATTTATGCAGTATGGTTTTAGTTTTGCTTCGTTAAATCAATAATGAAGTTTTGTTCAAATTTACAGATTCTTTCCTTTTATTTTTTTTATTTGTTTCATTATTTCCCTGGGGGGAACGGATTTTTTTACCTTCTTCGATTCAAAATAAACTAGTATATAATTATTGGAGTTTTGTTGGTTAGGATCTGGATGGGGTTGTAGAATGAGTGGCGGTTTAAGACTCCACGCCTTGTCGGCATGCATGAGTTGGAGGTTTTTGGTTCTCGTTTCTTCAACCAACACAGTTCTCCTCCTTTATGCGAGCAAGGACGAGGATAAATACAAAAAAATATATATAATAATTAATGTACTACTAGTTATAAATTATCATTGGAAAAACAACTAATGGATATTCATTTTAACATATAGTGAAATAACACAACTATAATCAACCCAAAAAAAAAATTTATAGCACTGAATAAAAGTCTGGGCTACGCTAATGAGTTAGTTTTTATCTAATGATGAGTAATTAATTAGTTAATTCTTTTTTTCATTAGATTAAGAAAATTAATCCGTAAAAAACAAAGAAATGCAATGAACTTAGAGTTTAATTCACTTAATTTATATATATTTTAAAAAATAACATTTAATAAGTTTAAATTTTAAATTTTAATTATAATTTTTTTTCTATCTTCAAATTACACTCTCCATGATAAAAAAAAAAAACAACAACATAACTTATTTTTTAAATAAAAAACTTAAAAAGACTATGTAACCAACAAAATTTAAGAAGACTAAACTGATAACATAAACATAAGTCAAAAGAAAGTTTGATCAGTTGTGAAGTTGTTTTTTAGCATCCTTCAAATTGACTTTCATAGAAATTGTGCATTTTAATTGTAAATATGATTTCGGTTCCATAATCTGCTTTTGGACTGATGAAAGGTGTTCTACTTGGGTGTTTTTAGTTGTTCAGATATCTTTTATGGGATGCCTTTTGCAGCACATTGAAGTTATTAAAAAATATTTTTTTATTCGTTGAAAAATTAAAAAGAAAAAAAGAAAGCAAATTTGGTTAAGTTGAGGTGCATGAAAAAGTAGCATAGATTTTTATAAAAAATTTAATTAACAATATTTTTTATTTAAGATTATCAAAATTTAAATTTTGATAATTAAAATAAAAAATTTAACATTTTACTAACATATCACACAAATATATATATAAATATAATATGAAAACATTTTATAGAAGCTTTAAGTTGGAGTTTTCTGCTTTTTTTTAGCTAATTAATTAAATTAAACCTCATTTTTAAGTTTAATAGAAATTAAAACTTCAAGGCATTTGGCCCATTAAGTTGGAGTAGCCGAAAAATGAGGGCATTTGGCCCATTAATGGTCCCCCTTAAGTTAAGAAGGCGGCTCATCCCATGGGCAGCCCAACTAATTTTGGGCTACTTTATGTACCCCACGCAATTCCATGGCATCAAGAGAAAACCCGGTTCGCCACCAAACAACTGAGGCAACATGCTACAAATGTGATCCAGAGGTTGAATCCCTGCAGCATATATAATATTTTTTATTCTTTTGCTGAAGCTGTTTGGAGAGCTTCAGGTTTCAACTACAGACCTAGGAGAGAAGGATTTGTTTGGTTTTGCAGAAGCCTCGTCAGTTATTTATGCTGGAATCTATGAAAAGCAAGAAGCTCTTTTTGTTTGAAACTAGACCTACAATTTAAAATATGATAAGCTTAAAATTTTAATAATAATTATATCTAAGTTTAATAAAATCAAAAAAATATATTTTATGTTTTCGTATGAATATAAATTATGATTTTTAATTTCTGTATAAAATATAATATAAAAATATAAATTTTAATATTTTACACTGTATAAATACACAAATCATCATATCTATTTGAAAATAACAAGGAGACATGTTCAAGTTTAGCTCCATGTTGCACGAGTTCCAGGAATTTTCTTGATGAAATGAACCCTTGTGAATTCTCTCATCTTAGGCACTTTTCACAAGGCAGAAACCTTCCCCTCATTTTCTTAAAGTGAACTGTGACGCTTCTTTTGATGTTTGTTCCTAACGAGAAGGAATTGCAGCGGTGTGCAGGGATCACAATGGTGGTATTGTCGATGGAGTGAATGTCCTTCTCCAGGCTGGTTCAGTGGATGTTGCGGAAGCCTTTGCTGTACGACTTGCTTACACTTTGATAAGGAGTAGTTAAGGGTTGCAAACTTCTGTGGAATCTGACGACATGAACCTCATCAGACGACTTAGAAATACAGGATATTATTGGGAGACGGCTTTATGCTTTTCTAAATAACAAAAAAAAAAAAAAAGAATAACATTAATTGGTTCAACACCTCATATGGGAGCCACCATGACAGCAAACTACGGCACAATCCTTTTTCCATGGGGAGAAATTTCATATTCAATATAACCTTTAACCAATAACCATTCATGCTTTTCACTTCTTGCAATCGGCTTATCTTATCATGATAACCTTTGTTGCAAAACCATTATCCAAAAATAAAATTAGGTAGAGATTGCCTGGCCTCCTTTTCAAAGTAAAATCCATTCAACATGCAATCTCCTCTTTGGAAAATTGGTTAACGATTCTTACATTTTTAAACCAAAGTATACCTAATGACTGGTATCCCTGGAAAGAAGCATGTCTTTGGGCAAAAGTATCCTTGTGTAAAAATACTATTGATGATCAAACTCTTTCGTGCATTGAACCTCAATCCCCTTGTCTTTTTCTTCCATGAATTGATGCTTCCTTTTTTTACTTCAAAATGTCTTTAACAAAAGTATGTTTCTTTAGTCATCTTCTCTACATGTACAAAATCCCCTTTGGATATGCAAACCAAAAAAAAAAAAAAAAAGGAAAGAAAGAAAAAAGATGGCATTCACCACCTAACAAGTTAAAAATCAGTACATGGGGGTCGACTTTCCATTTTGTTGATTTATATAAATAGGTGGAATATAGAGATGGTTGATTTTCTATACATGATCAGTGAAATTTATAAGCAGATTAAAAAATTGATAAGTATTTTTTTTGTTATTTTAATTTTTTAATTATTTTTATTATATTTTATAAAAATATGTATCACTTTACTAAATCATTGATGAAATTTATAAATCAATTATAATTTTTATACAGATATAATTTAGTGGTATTTTTTTTGCCCTCTCCTTTTTTTCTTTTTTTTTTGAGGAGAGAGAGGGAAAGAGAGAAGTTGGTTTCTTAAAACATGCACCGAAAATGAGATAGACCTATATTCTACTAACATATCCATAGAGAATTGATGAAAATGACTACTTTTAATCAAAGGACTCTTTTTTAACATGAACCAATTCTCTTTTAGCAGTCAGAGCACATGCAAGGCCGGGGTTATGCCACTTAGTTCACAAGGCCTGCAACTTGTGTCTCTTGCTCTGCTGATCATCACATACATAAAAGGTCTGTCAAAAACTCAAACTTGAGTACCTTTAAACGGTTTCTGGGGCCACTGTGTATACCAATACTCCCCATTGAATGTAGCAGCTAATTTATAAATTACCAATAACTAGAAACTTCCAATCATCTAAAGATCAGACATTCAGAAAAGGACTTAATTAAAACTTTTGTATATAGATAATTATATGATGAACTGGTGTATATTAATTAAGATTTTAGACTTCTAACTATTAGACTAATTATAATTATATTGCGTATAATATAGTATTAGTAAATTTAATTTGTTTTTGTATCTATAATCTATATAACTACATATATCATCTATAAACAAAAGGAAGAAGTTTAAAACTGTAAATGATGAACGACATATATATATTTGATAATTTATTAGATTAATTATTATTTTCACGTTTACTTGGAACAAGATATATCATAATCACCTTATGTCTTAATTTTTCGAGTGAAATAATCAGTGATCTTAAATTTTACTTGGACTTGGTGAATTGATCTGATCCTTAGGACTAATTAAGCCACCTAGATTGATCATTGATTCAAGACTTTTAAGTCAAAAAATGATCAAGTTGCACCTAGCTACCTCACTTGGATGGCTATTTGTACATTAGTCGGTTTAACTTGAAAACTACAAAGAGGGACATACATATCTAATAACCATGAAATGACAAAAAAGCCACCTCTCCTTCATTTACATGTGAGCTAAAAACTTGTAAAAAGCTGAAAAGGCAGGCAAAGGTTTCGTATCCCAGGCACATTATCAATGTCAATCTTAAGATATATACCTTTCAACCTCGACAACGACTCGTTAGGTTCTGCCACGATCCACCCAAATCCTACATTTAACAAACGAAATCCAAAACGTAATGGAAGATGGCAAGAATTGACGGGGCATTGAAGAGTCCATAACGATGGCTGCCATTGGGAAAATGGCAGCCAAAACAGCTAGTAATTTGGACAGTGCAGTAATACGAAGTCTCTTTTTTTGACTGTTGACAGATTTGCCTGCGTGTAAATGAAATGAAACCGATCTTTTCTTTTATGTTCTGCTGCGCCTGCCATGGAAAATCTAACAAGTTTTTCAGTCTGGGTCTTTTTCTTTTCTTTTTTTGGGTGCATCATCTTACTTTAAGATAAAGGATCGAAAAGAACCATAACTTAAGATAAGGACACTTATCGTTGGAAATTTCTACGTATACCATTCCTCGTCCACTCACCAAACCTTACTTTTCAATTGGGTTTCTCTTTAGCCCAATTACTTAGTTCTATTTATGATCTTTTTAAAAATTTTCCCAACAAAATTAAAGAAAAAAAATGTACTAAAGCCATTTTTACACCCATCCTTGTTTGGTCACCTCAAAAAGCAGTGTTACAATTTTATTCAACTTCGCCACGATGGCTCTTCTATTTCCTAGCTTTTTCTTTCTTCAATTTATAAGTAATTTCATATATAAATTGTAATCCAAATTAAATAGTTGAATTGGATTTTAACCCTTTTTTTTCTTTTAAGGAGAGCCACAACTGTGAATTAACCTATCATTAAAGTGACTCATGGTGCAGTAGTGTGTTTAAAATTAATCTCCTAACAAAACAAATGTGATAAAAAAAAAAAAGTATACATGCATTGGTCAAGGAATAGAAAAGATTAGTTGTACCGTTAACTGTGAAGATTATTCATTTATTCAAATTCTCGTGGGAAAATAAGGGAGAAATGATTCCTTTTTTATACATAATGTTTTCCTTTTTCTTTTTCCTTAGGAAGAAGGGAGAGTGATTTTAATTAGTCTGTTATTTTATCATTTGACTAAACAAGTGTAAAGTGGTTTTATAAATGTGAATTTCTACTTTTCTTCCCATTGATCTAATAAGGGCACATGCAAAGGAAAAAAAAAACACTAACGTAATTTTCACTCAAAAGAGGCTTGTGTTGGTAAAAATGGGTCATATAAACAGCCTTTGTGGTCCTTTTACAGAAAGTGACACTGTCATAGAAGAATCTAAGCCCTAAAAAGTATAGGAATCTAAGGAAAATAGATATTGTTTAGATTAAAGTAAGAAAAACTGTTGTCATCATTTCATTTCATTCATCACTAAAATTTTCACCACCCCACCTTGAATTCAGGGATCCTCCAATTCCCTGCCTCAACATATCTAACTATTTTAGTCTATTAATTATTAAAAGAGAATATAGCAAAGTAATATATTTAACCATTAGTGCGTGGGATTTTTCAGCTTTCCTTTTGTATGAAGAAAGTGGGCTGAGGCAATTGGGAGAAGATGGCGTGTGTTGGAAAGAGACAAGAAGGACAAGGTGGTAAGAAAAACAAAGGCAACATGGTCAAGGCAAGCTAAAACCTATTAGAGAGTCCTCAAAATTAAGCTCAAACAAGCAAAGAAAAGAATTCACTTCCTCTTTCTCTTCCACTATTCTCTATATTGTTTCCCTCTCTATCTCATTCTGAAACTCTTAAGACTCTCTTTCTTAATTTCTCTCTTCACCATAAAGTTTTTTAGAAGAATTGTCACGATGATCCATGTTTTCCTTCTATTTTCTCTCTGTTTTTCAGGTTCCTTTTTTTTCCTTCTTTTCGATATTCCATTTGCATGTCACTACTAATTTCGTTGTTTCTCTGTTTTTGAAATTTTATTTTTTTGTTCCTTTACAGATTATGGTTTTCTACAAGGAGTTACTTCTCTAGGCATCAACTACGGTCAAGTGGGCAACAATTTGCCTCCACCCGACAGGGTTCTTGATCTCTTAAGTTCCCTTAAGATCACAAAAGCAAGAATCTATGACACCAATCCTCAAATTTTAACAACATTTGCCAACTCCAACATTGAGCTTATTGTCACAGTTGAAAACCAAATGCTACCTGTCGTCATGGATCCCCAAAAAGCACTTCAATGGGTTAGTACCCACATCAGGCCTTATTTTCCGGCCACCAAGATCACCGGGATCGCAGTAGGAAATGAAGTCTTTACCGATGACGACACATCACTCATAGGATATCTTGTCCCTGCCATAGTCAGCATCCATGATGCTTTAGTTCAATTAGGCCTAGATAGGTACATTCAGGTTTCGACATCCAATTCGTTAGCAGTTCTTGAGGAATCTTACCCTCCTTCATCTGGTAGTTTCAAGAGTGAGGTCTCGGGAGCCATGTCACAGTTTTTACAGTTTTTGTCAAGCACTGGTTCTCCATTTTGGATCAATGCCTATCCATATTTTGCTTACAAGGATGCTCCAAACAAGATTTCCCTGGATTATGTACTTTTTAACAGAAATCCAGGAATGGTCGATCCTTCCACCAACCTACACTATGACAACATGTTATACGCACAGGTAGATGCTGTTGTTTATGCCATGTTTAGGTTGGGTTATGACGGGATCGAGGTGAGGGTTTCAGAGACGGGGTGGCCGTCCAAAGGGGATCCTGATGAAATCGGAGCAACAGCTGAGAATGCAGCTGTTTACAACAGGAATTTGTTGAGAAGGCAGATGAGTAATGAGGGGACACCTTTGAGACCAAACATGAGGCTAGAAGTGTATTTGTTTGCTTTGTTCAATGAGGATATGAAGCCAGGACCGACTTCAGAAAGGAACTACGGTCTTTTTCAACCTGATGGAACCATGGCTTACAATGTGAGCCTCTCTGCCTTGGCAACAACGTCATCAACATCATCAGCTTCCATTTCTCTTACTTCCTATGCGACCAAGGTAAAACTGTAGGTTTTGTTTTCTTCTTGTCCTATTTACATTAATGAAAATTCATCAATAAAAAAGAGAAACTGACAAATTGTATAGTAGAGGATAGGAAAAAAAAAGTATACTCACCAATGTATGGACCGGAGCAATAATGTATGCATGTTTAAAAATTTTACTAGAGAAAATTATATTGTTTCTTCAATAAAAAGTTATTCATGAACAATTATCTAATTATTTGCTTTTATTCTTTTGGTTTTGCCTCTATCTTTAAATGGCATTCATTGTGAAACAGGCCGCCAAGATGGAATATCAAAGCTTAGTGTACTGGATGTTTGTGTATTTGATGACTTTCCAAGTTTTTATGAGAAGACAATATTAAGCAGAATGGTGACTGCATGTAAATATTACATTTTGGTAAGAAAAGAATTGAGGTTTTCCTTTTTTAGGTCTTTCTGTCCTTCATGAAGAAAAAAAAATGAAAGAAAAAAGACCACTTGACAAGACCGACGGTACCCCAATTTGGCACAAGTTAATCCACCAAATTGAACTTCCCCAAAGTTGATGATAGTTTCATGGGTATCCTTTCAACATACCAACTTCAACAAAGGATCAAATTAACCATTATGATCAAATGGGCATAATTTCAAAACATACCCTTTTGTGAATTGGATTGATTATTATTGATCATGTTGAAGATTAATGGAACAGATTAAAGAAAAGCTTTAGCTTGTTTATTTGTTTCCTAATTAGAGTAAACAAAGCCATTCTATTTCTTTTTATTGTAGCCGCGCAAGATGATGTACAAGAATTATTTTCTCAATTCTCGTAAAAAGAAGTATTATTATTTTTATTCGGTTGCAAAGAAAAGCTTTCTTTCACTTTTGGACGTGGAATCCATAACTGTTCTTAGTATATATATGTAAAGATTTCTCATACGTTTGCTTTCCCCTTCTCTCACTCCCCAAATAACATAAAATATCAAAAGCTTAAATAAAAGAATAGATGGGATGATGGAAAGTTTAAGCTTTATTTGGTTCTTTTTCTATCCTGAACCTAAAACTGGACGCCCAGCTTTATTCCCTGTGGCCAAATAACCTTCAGCAATGGTCATAGGCCATCCTTTTCTCAAAGGAGCTTTTCTTTTTTTTTTTTTTTTTTTTCTCTATTGAGAAGAGATAGGGAGACAACGTAAGCTCAGCCTTAGTTAATCTTGATGGGGATGGTCTTCTCACCCCTTACCTCAGTCGACGTGGTGCACATGCACCCTAACAATTTTTAGGGAAACCCACTATGAAATTTTCCCTTTTTTTTTTTTATTACTACGATTTAAGAGGCAAAAATGAAAGCAAACCAATCAATATTTTAAATTTAAAGGACCCCATATAAAGAATTAGGAGATTTTGTGGGTGGAATCTCTTTGAACCTTTCTAAACAAACAAGTCTATGATCTATTCAAATAAAGGTGTTTTGTTATGTTTTTTGTTTGTTTGGGATTTTAGCTAATGACATGTTTTCTAGACTCTAGTGGAAATAATGCATCATATTTTAGGGCCACATGTTCGTGGAATTTAGCATGTGCCTTTGCTTTTTTGTTCTCCTATATATCTCCCATCTTGGATATATATATATATATATATATATATATATATATTATATCATTAATTCTTGTCCACACAATTTCACCATCAATTTATACAGAGCTTCATGAAACCTTGAAGCTAGATCCATTTTTCTAAGATTCTATTCATTTTACTCACTTTCATTGCATAAATCTTTAAAATAAATCTAAATTAATTTCTTTAATATTATAAGAGTTCCTTTTTTTTTTTTAACATTATTAGTGAAGTTTTTAAACTTTACAAATGGTGTGATGTAATTTTGTCTATTATGTTTTTTTTTTTTTTAATTTTTAATATACTTTAAAGTTTAAATGGATATGTGATAATTCTTTAGTTTTGTTGGTAAAATTTAAAAACTTCAGTAATGATGTATGAGATAATTCTCCTATTATAAACCTAGCTAAATAGCTCAAAATCATCAAGTCCGATTCCAATAGAGACGCAGAACTCCATGGCCTCCTACATCACATGACCAAGCATTTTGAGTTAATTCAGGTGATGAATTAAATCATATTTAAATTATGACATACCTTCTTATCTCTCAAAACCTCATTTTATTTGTCATTTGAATAAATATTAGCATAAACCGTAAAAGTGATGTTATTTAATATCTATAAAATATTTAATTTTTTATGATTTTACATTTAAATTGTAGCTCTTCATTTATTATTAATTGATTTTAAATCAGATATTAACATAAATCTAATCATTAATCAAGAAAAATAAATGATGAAAATTGAATATATTTACACATAATTTCACCCAAGTAGACTATTAAAGCCAAAAACTCAAATACATGAACAATAATTACAATATAATTTATTTACAAAAGAAGCTAAACAAATAATTGAAAGAACATTTGATGCATAATCATTAAAAAATCAATCCAAAAGATTAAAATTCCTTAAATTCAACATATTATTGTCTTTTAGCACGTGATTGCAAAAAGATTAAGCCGATCAATCTTAATAAAAAATTTCCCAAGTTTAAATAATTGTTTTTCTCATTCACTGATTAAACTTGCAGACGTTGACAGCAGAACTATTTGGGTACAATAAGTTAATCACTAACATCAAGCCAAAGTCAAAAAGGCAAAAAGGAAAATCCCATTGTAGATCACTTGTGCTTATTTTAAGTTTGTGCGTCGGTGCACTCTCGAACCATTGGCTCCCATTTCTATATTATCCTAAATGAGTGGTACAGGAATCATTGAATTAATCATAATTTGCCACATTGGTTTTGTACTTAGAATAAAAAGGGCAGAATTTAATCGTGACAAGAAGAATTTTTCATCTTCCAAATGATTTAGTTTGGTTTGATTTTGAATTTTTATAAGCGTATGACAGCTTATATTATCATTATTACACTTTTTTGAACAGCATTAATTATATTATACCCAAATTTTTTTTTTTTAGAGAGATCAAGATGATGCCTGATAGAGAAGTTAATTATATAATTTGTTCATTTCTCTTTGGCATTGAATTTAGATGGTAGTACTTGTGCCTTAATCAAGATGATTCATTCAATTTTCTTAGAAAATGAATTTTTGCGAAATTAAAATTTGATCTCTTATAACTAGGAATTCTCATTTTTCAATATTTCTTTAGACTTGTAGCTCAGTTGTATTAAAAAATTGAATAAAGGTATTAAGAATAGCTCATACTAAGCTTAAGTTTAATTATTAGTAAATGTTTTTGCTAACAATTATATGATTTATTGATAGGATATTGTGCTTTTAATTTCAATAATCAAATTAATCATAGACAACTTTAAATATTAAAAATATTAGTAGATATCAAACTTCTATTTCTTTTACATTAATTTAGAATCCTATAAATACTTACCTTTGAATCGCAAGAACTTGGAATCTCATTTTTAAACCTATATTTAAGGATAGTTTTTTTTTTTTTTTTGCTTCACAAAAGAAAAGGAATTGGTTTGGTTTAATTTTGACTATTCAATCTTTACCTTATTCATGAATATCTCTTTTTCTCTAAAACCTTTCTGACCTGTACAATCGTATCATCAATCACCCATCCATTTTAAGGACCTTGCTTAATTGGTAGACATCCATCTGTGCATCCTTTATGGTGCTAAATCCTAATAATGAAATGGTAAAGTTTTTATAAACAATTTGATCCCCTCTTTCATTTCTAAAAATTGTCAAATTGAGGGGTTAAAAAATTTTGTTTACAAGTCATGATGGTTAGGCTTTCTTAAAGATTAAACTTTAGGCTTTAGCATCATTTTAGGAAGATGCTTTTATAAAAGTAGGATCCCCCCTCCCATAACATGGAATGAAAGTTCCTTTTTCTTTCTACAGTTAGGGTCGGTTTTTGCCTTGTACTTGGGACCTAATGGGACACTGACTGCTAGGTTGGATTCTTTGTCTCTTTCTATGTCTCCATTCAGTCTGGTTTCATTTTTTTTTAGCGAGGCATCCTCGTTCCTCTCCAATACTTTTTTTTATATATATATTAATAATATCATTTAATATACTAATTATTATACCTGAATATTTCATTCAATGATTGGTATTTGTACAGTAATCTCACTACACTGGAATCTCCTTTTTTTTTTTTTTCAAATTAAAAAATACAATAATTATTACTACTTATTCATAATCTTTAAGTTCCAAAATTGTGATAAAGGAGTCAAGGTCATTGTTATTAAAATTTTTATCAAAATATTGTAGATTTATATATTCTCAAATGTATATATATATATATTATATATAAAATTATAATAATATTTTATTAAAAAAAGATTTTGAACTCAAATTCTTTTTTTCCATTTAATAAATTATTAAAAATATATATAATATAATAAGTAAGAATTTATTTACATAAGTATAAATGTTACTTTTTTATTTTTAAATTAAAATTAAATTATAATACTAATACTTAATCATTTTAATAAAATAAAAAATATAATGCTTACATAAGTACATCTTACTTCGTAACGTAATTATGTATAATTTTTTATTTGTTAAAAAAAATATGCATCGGATCAGACATTTAACTCCTTGAACCGAGCAAAACCCATGGTTATGCAACGCAAATTTTGCCCTTTAGGTTTCTATCATATTTATTATAAATATGATTAAATTTATTGTATCTTCAATTAAATTTAAATATCAATTTTAATAAAAATTAAATTAATAAAAAAATTTTATTAAAAAATTTTCAATCATAATTATAAATTTTTTTAAAATTATAATTATAATAAAATTTTTTTTTTTTAATCTCTTTACTCATGCCAACCCTAAAAATTCAAAAATAGCACCTTAGAAGATGGAAAACTATCCCATAGGCGATGGCGCTCTTCTCGGTGTTTGGAGAAAGACTTGATCACATGGAACATCCTGAAAAAAAGGCCTAGTTCTCAAATCTAAACTTAACTTTTACGTCTGATTCCCGAGAAAATAAAAACCAGAAAGTCGTAATTTTGTGTGTTCTTATGTTTGTTCACAGGGGGAGAAAAAGCTTCGAGAAAACAATCTCTGGTTTTGGAATCGAAGCTGGCTCATTTTTCATCCTTGTAACAAAAATCCTTGTTTCTTGATCAAAAGATCGCGTTGCAAACCATTTATAATCTCTGCTCTCGGATCTGAAATTGAAAACCTGGACGCCAAATATAATTCCAGTTGTCGACAATTGAAGTAAAATTTTAATTTCATTATAATTTTACATCTTCTTTTGGTAATTTAAATTTAACGTTTAAATTTTGAAATGAGATTTGAATCTTAGGGTTTTGAAAAGTGAGGTTGAGGAACCTGAATAGGTGGAAAAGGAGAAGGATAAGTTTTACAAATTGAAAAGTTCAGAAATCAATGAGTGTAGGGAAAATGTGGAGATGTTTTTGATGGAATCTGGAATTCAAGTGCAAGAATTGAGGAGCTGTGAAAAAGAGGTAAATTGAAATTTTCGCATTTGAGACTTTCAAATTAAGAATCTTAAGTTTTAACTATTAAGGAGTTAGTTGAAGACACAATCTCATTTTTAATTGATTAAACTGTGTAATGCATCTATTAAATTTCTTAGTTTGGTTTTATGGAATTTGTGAACTTTGGTTTATATTTGTTGCAACTGAAGTCAACTTTTATGGAACTTCAAGGCAACAATGGATATACGAGTAATTCTGAGATAGCTGAGGCAGAGATGAAAACGGCTTAACTGTTGGCTATGAAAGATTGGGCTTCAAATTACCAAAGAAGAGCAGAGTTGCAAAAGCAGGTTGAGATTGCTCAAAATCAAGAGAGATGGAAACCATTTCACTTTGGAAAATACGAAGGTCTCAGGTAACCAAGACTGCAAACATGATAACAGGTTCCTGAAGCTTGTATAGAAGCTGAGCAACGTTGTCGTTTGTCAATCAAACTGTTACCATAATCACACTGGGTTTTGGACTTTCTTATAATAGATTTGAGTTCTTTGTTTAAATTCAAATATGCAGGATTCGGTATCCTATTATCTGAGGTTTGGTTGTTGATATGCTGCTGCTGTCGTGGACTTAGATGCTGATGTGGTGAAGATTCACTGGCTGTTGTAATCAGCTGCTTCTTATCCTTTAAACAATCTATTTTGTGGATTTATGACCCATATGTTTAAGAGGTAAGTCATCAAGAGTAAAAGCTGAATAACAATCATGCCGAACCCGCATAAATTTTCATTTCTTTGCAGGTTTCATGCTTGAATATGAATTTTCTGTTTCTCAGAATTTGCTCACTTGGCTTACATCTCTGCCTGTTTGAATTTTGATTGTATGTATGCTCTTTTTGATTACTGAGGTACTGAGATCAGCATAAGATTTACTAGTTTATTGGACAAAAACATATATATTTCTATACATTTAAGGAACAATCCAACAGTGCTGAGAATTCCAAGATCCTGACGGAGTTTAACCTTCTTGTGAAGGCGAAGCACATGTCTACGATATTCTCCCAGAGCCCATAATGGGAATATATTTCTCTATGTAGCATAATGCATCATACAAGTCCTCAAGCAGACTCCAGCAAGTTCCTGTGGAAACCAATTTGTAGTTTATAGAAAAACACTATTTGTGAGTTCCATTTAGATATTGATAATTTGAGCAATCTATGAAAAAGGATGCTTTATATTATCAGAAGTGGAAGCATTGCTTTGCTAAAGCATTTGACTTGCTAGAAGGATCTAAATTAAAGTCATACCTGCTGAGGAAATTCTCCACTTTCCATCTGTGAGTTGATCAAGAGTCTTGCTGCTTTGTGTAAAGGTTGCGGATCCAACTCAGCCTAGTTAGGCAGAAACATACAGACCATGAATTGAGGTTTTTGTTGAATTTGTGAAGGGTTGATATATATGATGTTTTCACCACTAATATATTATCGGCAGAATATATTTTCTATGATCTAACCTGTCCAGCATGAATCAAAGCCATCATTGCCCATGAAGTTTGCACTAGATGTGAGCAGTTTCCTTCAGTTAGATGTCTATATTCCTGTTCATAATTGTGGGAAAATATTAGAAATATTATATACTCTGCTCTACTGAGTTTCAGAAGACAGTAATCAATTTCCATGTGAAACACCATGCCCATGGTTTCTTTTGGAAAACAGCTGACTAACTGTATGTCCAATAAGGCAATAATTACAGTAATACATGTATTTGCTTTGCTTCTCATGACTCGTGCTCCCTAGCTCAGTGATAAATAAATTGATTATTTAACATAACAATGGAAGTTACCAAATTAGGGCGTGATAGATAGCTTTCTCCCCATCCACCAGACTCCTGCTGTTTTGAAAGCAAAAATTGCCAAGCTTTACGGACATTTTCGCTGTTGAGACAAGTCTTACCAACAGCAGCTAGACCAGCTAAAGCAAAACACGTGCCATAAGTATAGCAAATTCCCCAGTTGCCACACCTGAATATATATAAACTGATAATCTTAGCTTATAACTTTTATTGTAACTTTAGTTCCCATTAGGCATCCATGATTTTGCTCAAAAAGACTACAAGGAATTCAAGCTCACCAAGAACCATCTGCCATTTGAGATCCTGCGATAAATTGTACCGCATTAGCCACAGATGTTTCTATTTCTTTCTTTCGGTATCCAGGATATAACTGGGAGAACAACGTAAGTGCTTGTGCGGGGACGAAGTACATTCAACAAAACTAAGACCGCCAAATTGCTAATGTTATAGAAATTTTCTAATATGATCCTTTAATGATAAAAATGCAAGTCATGGTTGCTTCAAAAAAAAAAATGCAAGTTATGGTGATAGGAACATACTCACGCTGAATTGCTGCAGCAGCAAAAAGTTCTGTTGGATTTATCCTTTGAGAAAGAAACGGATCCCACAATTTAAACAAAATGCTGGGAAATAATAGAATTAAGCAGCAGAGGATGACTTGCTTCACAAAACTTTGAACATTTAAGCATGAACTGTGCCACATTGACATTTTGATAAATTTTACCTGCAGCCATTGTTGTCTTCTTACTGGCTCCCAAGCAGTAAAACCACCATTTTTGGGCTGATGAAAAGAAAATGGAAAATCAAGGCCAAGGATACATGAATTATAGTCTTTCATAGACATCCGATAATGCAGAAAGACAGAGAGCTTTTAACAAACCAAAGTTAAAGATGTCTTCATATCTGTAATGACTGGAGGACATTTACAGCATTATATAGTCGCTCTACTTCAATTGTTTCATCTACAATTTCTGCTGGTAGCCGTGAGAGTAAGAGCATTGTCTGCAAAGAAAAGAGTAGTTATTAGATATCCATTGGCAAATTTAATTTGGCTAATTTCTTTTTACTTAAGAGACAATAAGTAAACATAGTGGAGCTAAATCACCTTTAGAGCTTCAGCTATGCCGTCTGAGGTTTGCCACCCGTCATCTTGAATGGAGAAAGTCCAAGCTCTTTTGGACATGTGACGATGCATACTTTGGAAGTGTCCCGATGGATTTTCTAGAATCTGAGGATTTGTTGATGCAAGAAACTAAGTGAGCTGATTGGGTTAATAGAATCAATAAAGGTTATTAAACAAAATTTGGGGTATAGGAAGAAACCTGTGACTGTTTTATGAACTCGTGCGCTTTTCTGAGAGTAGAGCCATATTCATCAGTTAGATTGCTTGAGTAGCTAAAACGGCATCCCACAACTGGCTACCACCGTTTAACCTTGAATGCAAGGAATTAGAAAAGTTTATCAGCTACAACTAGAAATGAAATACAAGCATGGTAAAGTAGACATGTGCTAAGGTGGATTATTATCAATCTATCACCAAACCTGCATTTTCATTCCATCTTCAGCTAACCATAAGAAATCTGGAACTCTGACCAGGTGAAATTTTACTGAATCTGAAGTTGGATCCTCTGCCCAACAGGCCATCATATGCAAAACCTGCGTTTCTAGCTTTCTCGATCAGTATTTTGAAAGCAGTTGGCTGCCCGATGTTCCATACTCAATTCATCAATATATTAAGGAGGATGCCTTTTGTGTACATCCTTAAGTATCGAGTTTCTCATCCTCAAATGGACGAGCTTTATTGCTATCTGTAGAGCTTTCTCTCTTAGCTTGGAGAAGGGCCAACAATTCAAAAGCGGCTCAGAAATGTAATAAAGACTGTCCCAAAGCAGAATTTGCACCATGGGATATGGCAAATATATATCTTCCTGCATAATTGGAAACAAATACTAAAATCTTGTCTGGCTTTGGAAAGTTCAAAAACATCTTCATCACCAGTCTATCCCAGTTCTTCTCATCCGGACTGCAGAAATCTTGCCAGTATAAAATTAACAATATCAAGAAGCATGAGTACAAACAAATATGACTAACCTTTGAACACAAATGGCGATTTTTATTCCAATCTATCTCATTGTATGGTTGGGTGTAAATTTCTTCTCTCAATGATAAAATTAGCTCAGTGATTGGCCCGACTAATTTCTTTCCATACAAATAAGATAAAGGTGCAAAAAAATTGCGCATGAAAGACCGTAGCCTCGGTGGGTGAACATATATGCTGATTAGTGTCAGCAAACAGAAAGAAAAGGGCTAGGTTCTACTATAAAATAAATTTTAGATTTACCTGGACCGAAAGGAAAATATGAAGGGAGAAACCATAAATCTGTGGGCATTGGATTGCACACTGACCATTCATATAATCCTTGTACCTTCATTACATTGAAAATTTCAATAGATTAATATGTATATTTTCTTTACCAATTTCACTTCAGCTTAGGGGGTCAAGATTTGAGAATGTGGGGCTTGAACTAAGATTTCAGATTCAAGTCATAGTGCTATTGAAAAGGAAAGGCTAATAATCAAGCAAGTTCCATATCGAAAGATAAGCCTTTCCCATGAGGGTATCATTGTTGCACCCCCATGATCGAGTATCCAATTTCTAGCCTTTTCTACAGCCTCTTTTTTGCCACCTTCAATTCCTTCTCCAAGCAAACGAAGAGCAATGTAATTTAGTGTGGTGTTCATCATGGTGCTATGCCCCTCTACATGGAAACCCCATCCTCCATCTATGTTCTGGCCAGGGGACAAACAAAAGTATGGTACCATTAAGTATGTCAAACAAAACACAACTTTCAATTCAGCACCAAAATGTCTAGAGAGTTTAGAATTTAGTACTTGATGATTGTAAATGTAACGAAGAATTTCCCTTCTGTGTTCTGAAGATAAAACGGTATCAATTGTTCTGGTAAGGTATAAGACCATAACCTGAAAGTTGTAAATTCCACAACTATGGATGAGACAGAACTCAGAGTTTGGCCACTTTTCCAGAAAGAGAACTCAAAAGCATACCAGAGGAGCTAAGCAATTGTAACTTTCTCATCAGTTACTTCTTCATTGTCTTCCAGTCTCACTGGTGCTATGCTTAGATCTACATGGTTTTCTTTGTTGAGCTGTACATGACGTTAAAATATCATAACAGTACTCAATCGAGTTCATGTAAGAAACGAACTACGCTAACTAAAAGTTAAAGTGGTCCAAACTTGAGTACCAGAAAATTCTTAAGCATGTCGCTGCTTGATTTAACATGATGTCGCTGTAACGAGAAATTGTCTTGTAACTTTTCAATTTGTGCACGTTCCTCTGATGTTCCAGAAGGGTCGAATTTCCAAATCTGTCTGCCAACAAACTTGTTTGTACTAAACAGCCATGGACCATTGCCTTCCACTATCTCCAGTGTCCACATATTTCTTGGTCATGGACCATTGCCTTCTGCTATCTCCAGCCATGGTCAACCCACCTCTGCAAATCTAGATCAACCCACAATGTCATTTTCTTCAACTCTTATGCCTTGATTCACGCGATTGATTGACCTTTGGGAATTGGGATTATAAAAATACTTGGGAATAAATATTTTATATACTAGTTCATTTTTTTTTTCTGTAAGCCATCTGTCGTTAAAAGAAAAATTAAAAAACATATGCACGCCATCAACATGCATTCATTATAAGCTCCCTCCATTTTATTTGATTGCTTTATTTTTCGGATAAATATTAGTAAAGAAAAGAAATGAAAAGAAGATATTTTAGAAGAAAAGAAATGATTTATGTATTTTTTTAAACTAAAATTAATAAATGGAAGGAAAGAAAAAAATATTAATGACCATTGTTTGATTAAAAAATAAAAAAGAATAAAAGATTCATTATAATATTTTTATTATTTTTTTAAATAAAATATTTTATTTATTACGTGAATAATTTAAAAATTAATTGTTTAAGTAAACAAAAGAAAAAATTTCATAAAAGAGATAAATTTTTATTAATTCATAAAATAATATATGTTTAGAATTATTTCCACATTTATTTTTTTATAATTAATTTCTATAAAAAATTTAAAAATCTATATATCTCTTAACAAATAAAATTAATTATAAATTTATATTAATATAATATATGTTTAGAATTATTTCCACATTTATTTTTTTATAATTAATTTCTATCAAAAATTTAAAAATCTATATATCTCTTAACAAATAAAATTAATTATAAATTTATATTAATATTTTCATATAAATTTAACAAGCTTCATTAACATCAACATAATTGTATGTGTTCATGTGCATATTTTTTATTTTTCTCAATTCTATTAAATAATAATAAAAATATAAAAAAGATATAACGATCCCCCATAAATTAGAAAAAATTAAATTGCTTTTTATTATGGACAATTGTAGATTATTTAAATCAATAATAATTTCAATTTTATTTTCATATAAAATAAAAAATATACATAAAAATTCATAAAAGTAAATTTGAATATCATATTATAAGAAGTTAATAAAATTATAAAAATCAACAAATGGTTGACTTAATTGGTTAAGGCTTATTTTTTTTTATCTAATCATTTGTTGGAATCATCTCAAATGCTTGATTTATTCTTAAAAATTGAGTAGCTTATTTATCTTCAATTTTTTCTTTATAAAAAAATAAAGTTATAAAAAAATAAAATAAGTAAAGAGATAAATTTAAGTGTGATAAAAAGTAAACATTAGTATCACTTATCAAGTTTATAATATATTCTTTGAAATTTAAAAAAATATATATAAATATTATTTTATATTTTAAAAAATTTTATCTTTTATTTTCTCTAACTTTTTTCTCGATTTGAGATAAATAAGAAAATAAAACAATTGAGCGAAACGAAAGGATACTCAATCCCTCTTCTTTTCTTTTGTTTTAATTTAAATAATATCCCAATAACAAAAATTTCTTTTTTTTCCTAGCTTTCCGTTTCCTTCGTTCTTTTTTTTTTTTTCCTCAATTCAAACATGAACTAAATATGGCACATTGGTTTAAATTTCTAATATAAAAAAAAAAAAACTGGTTGCAATTTTGAAAGATAAGACAAAAGTTAGAATTCAAACTTTTTTTTTAAAATAAAGATATGTTTTATTGAATTCATTAAGTACATTTTCAATTAAAATTTTATTTTGGAGATATTATTATCATGGAATTTTTAAAATTTACAAAGATATTAAAATATTATTTTTATTTCATTATTTATTGTATAAATTTTTTTAAAAATATACTCTAATGATATATATGACGATCCTCCAAAATTATTAGACATTATTTAATTCATAAAAATTCCACATACACTTTTCTCACATGGTTAAGATAGAAAATGAGGCCTTTTTGGTTTCCATGTTGTTAGTGTTTTAAAGTTGGGTTTGAAACCCAAATATCTTCAGACCAAAAATGGCTTAACTGAGCCCAAAGGATTAAACCAATTCACCATTGACACTTGTCAGTTGCTCATCTATTTTAATTTTAAATCATGCTAAAAAAAAATTTAGAACTTTCTTTCCTTCTTCCAAAACCCTAAACATATTTATTTTATAAATTACTTTAAAAAAAAAATCATATTCTTGAAAATTCCCAAACTTTCAGGTTCTGCCATTTTCCACGGAAAAACAGCTTCGCTTGATCGTTTCTCTTATAATCTCCGATAAAAACTGAAAAGCCAAAAGAAAAGAGGGAAAAAGAATTGAGTTTAGGAAAATGGCAGAGGAATTGTCGCTGGATTTGGAGGAGCTAAGGCAACTTCAAAGCATCGCGAAGAGGCCACGTATTCTATCTCTTATTTCCTCTGAGATTCGCAACTTGGAAAAGGTTTCTCTTTCCTCTCCTTTTTATGGGTACTGAAATTTTGATGTTTTAAATGAATTCGGTTGCCGTTATTTTGACTTTAGTTCTCTTGTTGAAGCTACTTTCGATAAATTGATAATTTTCCCAGCTATGTTTAGGATTTCCAAGTTCTGTTTGTTACTTTAGTTTCTGAGTTTTTCAGTGGGTACTTTCTCGGGGAGTACTTTCCTAATGTATCACATTTCATATATTTTTTTGTTGATCCCACTTTGAATTTCAATGGGAATGGCTGAAAACTGATAAGCATTTTGACAATATAAGTTTTATCCGTTAACGACTTTATCTTGACGCTAGTCACTCTGCAATTTAATTTGACAATTGCTTACTGGAGAAAGTGTTTCCTATTTTTCTTGATTTTAAACAGAAATTGTTTTTATGAATTCTTCAGTTGCAGACATCGAAAGATGATGCCAATGCACCTCCTTCTGGTGCTGTTTCACAAATTGCAACACCCATATCAACCTCAGTTAAGGTTCCAGCTAACCAAGCATTGAGTTATGTTACACTGGCCTCGTTCAGCTGGGATCAGGATAATGATAAAGTCAAGGTAACAAATTGATGTTCTTAGAAGTTTAAGATTTTTCCATTGTTGTTGTGTCTGTCATTTCAAAACAGATATCAAATTCCCAATGTCGCAACCTGAGAGAGAAAAACAATTTACTTACTCATCAAAGCAAAAAAAAATCTTGTAATTTGGTTTGTCACTGGATTATGGTATTATAAATTATGTTGTTTATGACAGGGTAGGAGCTTCTTACAGTTCTCTTCAAATTTATGAGCGGTACATGTTCTGCATTACCATTGTATTCTCATTTATTTGGCTTATGTTGTGTTGATCCGACAGATATATGTCTCTCTAGAAGGAGTTGATCAGGAAAAAGTTCAGTCAGAGTTCAAGCCAATGTCATTTGATGTTAAATTTCATGATGTCCAAGGAAAGAACCATCGATGTGCCATTCCAAAACTGAACAAGGAAATTGTGCCAGAGAAGTGCAAGGTGGTAGTTAAGCCTACAAGAGCGATCATCACATTGTTGAAAGCGTCTAAAGGGAATTGGTCTGATCTGCACTTCAAGGAGGACAAGGTAATTAATTGCCTACAGTAGGATAAATAAGGGTTACTCTTCATGCTTTGCAATTAAAGTAAAATAATTATTTTCATTTTTTCACACAGCTGAAGCCAAATTTGGATAAAGAGCGAGATCCCATGGCTGGAATCATGGACTTAATGAAGGTAAGTTTACTTCCATATGTATAGCATGTGTTCAACAAGAAAGTTCTAAAGGCTAATTACTGCGACTTTTCCCTTCACGCTCAAATGTGAAAATTGCAGAATATGTACGAGGAAGGAGATGAAGAAATGAAGAGAACAATTGCCAAAGCGTGGACTGATGCAAGATCTGGCAAAACAGGCGATCCTCTGAAGGATTATCGTTGAATCTAACATAAAAGGAGCATAGATATTTTAGTTCAATGGCCTGTTTTTGTGTTTTTTCCTGCCTGTCGTCTCGTGTTCAAGTTGTAGGAAACTTGTATCTGGACGTTTTGTTCTTGCTCTGAAGTGTCATTGCGCACATAGACCGATGCATTCTACATGTTTATCCAATGTTTTTTGAGATCTTTACTGTGAGCAAGTAATCACTACAATTAGAAGCTTATTTTTTCGTATTTTATTTATTAATCTAAACAGGATCTCTGGTATTCCATCAACGTATGGTTGGTTTAATACTAAGACTAAAATATGGAATTTTTAAACAGAAATGAAGATTAAGAAAACAAAGAAAGTTAGAATTAAGTGATAGTTGGTTCATTTAGATCACTTATGAAAAAGATTTTTATAGCGCCTTTCGATGAAACTTTCGTAATTAAACGAGCTGTAGGCATTTAAAAAATACTACTAATATAATAAAGAAGCATCTTTCTTTTTTATTATTTCAACAATCTCCGAAATAATAAGAAAAAGCTTTGCCCACAATTTTTCCGTGACGATAACATATGTAAATATAGATTTATAATACATAATTGTAAATGATTCAACCAGTTCATTTTCAACTGAAACAAAAGAAGCCCCAACAGCAAAAGGTTAATAGACCTGGTCAAACCAATGAAAAACAATTCAATGCTCATGGCTAATATATTCTAGTTTCCCATAAATAAACTCACTGTTAAGTAAAAACTGATAAGAATTTGATGATTGTAAAATCTGGAAAAGTTCATCTAACAATTTAGAAGGATCTATGCAGCAGCGTGCCGTCATTGGAGTATTTGACTCCCATAGTCTGCATTGAACTTCTCGTAGCGATGAGCATGTAAATGAGCTGATGGTCTTGTGTTCTTTAGAGCAATTTCTATATCATCAGGTGTAATTGGCCCAACCTTCGGCAGCTCTGCAACCACAAACTAGTTACTGAGTTCTTCATCATTAATTTAAGCATATTAAAAGCTGCAGGCAAAACAGGGGAATAAGAAAATAAAACACGTCCGTTTATTTGCAGGGAAAATTTACAGGACAAAAAGGATTATTTTCTTCCACTTATCTTTCTTGATTCCCACACGGATGTTTTCTTTCAGCCAAATCATATGGTAGAAGCTGGCCAGATTTTGCCTTGAAATTAGGGCAAAAGACCATATCATATTGGTCTTACATACTAGAAAGAAAAACTTAAAAAAATGTTTAACTAAAACATGATTTGATTTATTTATCCTGGTTCCCAAGATAAAAGCAAAAAAAATATTGTATCAACAAAAGCCAGTTAGGCTTTATGATGGTAGTCAATACTTGGAGACACCGTCTTCTCGAGTTTGCTATGCCAAACAGTTATAACTAAGGAAACACCGAAACAGAGAAAAGGAAAAGGAAAATTACAGGAAATAAACTGATGAATGTGAATTGAGGCCTGAGGGGATGACATGTTAAACCACAAGATACATTGATGTTCTATTTAGGGAAAGAATGATTTTGCAAACACTCATTATCCAGTTTATAAAACCTTTTAGTAAAATAAAAGAAAGCACATACCATCCTCAGGCACTACTTCCTGCCTATCTTCAAGGACTGCCATTAAGCGTCTCAAAGGCTGCATGGCTGCTTCTTTGCAGACTAATCGAATATCTGAACCTGAGTAACCTTCTGACCTTTCCACTAATATATCATAGGGAAGAGCCTCCTCACCATGCTGTTCAGCCAGAAGTTCTTCAAATATGGCTCTTCTAGCTTCTGGCTCTGGGAGAGGAACAAGGATCTTATTGAACGTGGTTAAAGGCAAACTGCTTCATTAATAGCATGTCTTGAACTTCAGAAAGATTTTCCCCTTAATCGTGTAAAAGATGCTATCAAATATAATTGCATGTTTCAAGTGATAGAACATATTTGGGACTAAACAGTTTAGAGACAGCATAAACACTATAAAATGATTTACACCACAATGTAATCATGTTGGAATAAGAGTTTGGTGAATAGGATGATGGATAGGATAGGATGATAACCATCCTATACTATGTTTGGTTTGTATCTAAATAAAGGGATAGGATTGCAAGGAGGATTAATCATCCTCTTGGTATAGGATGATTCAATCCTCCTAAAGTGTAAAGGATTATTTTTAATTCATGGGATTGAATTTACATGTCTATATTATACCTTTAAAAATTATATTAATAATTTAAATTGTATAAACTTTGTGTAAGGATAATTTTGACTAATCCTAATCCTAATCCATGTAGACATGAAACATAAGATAGGATGGCATTATTTAATCTAATCTTATTCATAATATCATCTTATCCTATACTATCCTATCATAATCTTGTGCACCAAACACATCCAGTTCCTAGGCTTCGACCCTATCCTGGTTTTGTGAGTAAATTTCTTTGTCCATACAAAATTGAATATTTATATAAGAATCTTTTAAACTAATTGTTAATATTGTTCACAAAATTCAGAATAAATTTACATGTCAAAGGATACTCGCTTCTCAAGACGGCGGAGCATGGCCGCATCCAATTCCCAAGGGAGGTTTGTTGCTGCCAAAACAAACACGAGCTCATCTGACTGCGTCAAACCATCCATCTGCAATCTAATTCTACCGATCAATTTTTGAGAGTACAGTTGAAATCTAACATGATTTCTTTTCTAAATCACTTTAAACTACATGTTTGATTTAACTACTTTATTTTCTAATTATTGCAAATGAAAAACACACAAAAAAAAAAACACTATTAAAGATGCTGCAGAATCAGTTTAAGATTCTAACCATGCTCAGATTTAAAATCACTAATTAGGATAAAAACACACATCTCATAGCTTAATTCTCATAATGATTATGTCACTGGACTCTAGAGGGAAAGATATAGCTAAAATAAACAAGTGATAATAATACGACGGAGTTTGTTTGTAAACAATGTTCAGCAGTGCTACAAGGTATATAATTAATATAATAACACGCACACACCCACACACATATTTATGTCCATAAAAATAAGGCCACATTTTTTAAGAAACAAACATCACCTGTATAAGTAGCTCAGTTTTCAAACGCCTACTTGCTTCATGCTCACTGCGTCCTTCACCACGCTGGCTTATAATGGCATCAATTTCATCAAGAAAAATGGTAGATGGTGCATGGTGCCTTGCTAGGTCAAAAAGTACTTTTATTAACTTTTCAGAATCACCTGAAATGTTATGAACTCCACAGTTAGATAACTGAGGGCTATTTCAGCTAACAACCATAAAAGCTATTGGGTCGGATACCAGCAGGTCCTTTTGTTCATATTCATATCATGATCTCTATAGCTTGTCAAAGAATTTTATCAATAATGATTCTTCTTTTGCTGCAGAGTAAGAAATTCTAATGGGACAGAACATAAAATGAATAGGATCAATTTTTGTCTTCACACGACCATATCCAGAGCACATTCTGACAATTTAATTAGAGAAGAATGGTTGTCCTGTAAGGTTCCCCATTGAGTAAATCAAATAAGATCTTGGAAAACTTGTGTTTAACATACCACGCCATTTGCTGACTACAGATGATGCTGAAATATTGAAAAATGTGGTCTTGCATTCTGTTGCAACAGCCTTTGCTAGCATTGTCTGCAACCAGAATGGTGATTTAAATAGAAACTAGCATCAATGAAAAAGAAAGAGAATAAGCACTACCAAGATATAATAAATTATTATCCCTGATGCATAATTTTTTCTCCTAGTGTTGAGGAGATAGTGATCTATGTCAATATCCTTTCTTTTTTTTTTTACAAACTGGGGGGGGAGGAGACAGGGGGACCTCCTAAGAGAGGTGGGAGATCATTTGGGCTAAACCTTGGTTTGTCAATCTGAAATTTACTATGCAACTATGAAAGACATGTTTCCTTCATATTAACCAAATATCTTGCATATCTATCTAATGCATTATGAAGATGTCTTGCACAAGACAAAATCAATTTATTAGAAACAAGTGAACAAAGTACAAACCTTTCCTGTCCCTGGGGGACCAAAAAGGAGAATACCCTTCCATGGTGAAAGAAGACCAGTAAAGTACCTACAAGAAATCAAATCAATTGTGAAATGAAAGCCTCAAATTCCTTCAAAACATATTATGAAATGTTTCATCAACATTTTACTAAATCAAATTGATAAAATAAAAGTCCTCATGGTGGCTAACAAAATATTCCCATTGATCTCAAGTATGCAAAAAGAGAAGCAGAAAATGAACTCAATCAAATCGTATTATAAAGGCGACCATCCACGGCATTCAGAAGTAAAGTTTGAATCTCTTTGTAATATTTTCCATGCGCTTTTCAGAGCACTAGCTTTTAAAAGACCTAAGCCCTCACAAGTCACAAATCCACTTTTCTTTTCTATCAATAACCAAAAATAGAAGAACTCTTAACCAAAGCATTCCATGCACTTTTGAGAGGACTCGCTTTGGAATCTTAATAACTTGATAACCTTGTAATGAAAGGAAGTTGTAGTTCTACCAAGTTCTGACAAGCACAGAAACCTTTAATCTCTACTTTCTAATTTTCAAATGAAATTTTCTAATCAATCAGGCATATACGTTGCTCACTTTATTCGCTTCATATGCACAAAATGAAACTTAAATATAGGGGAAACTGCATAAGGGTAGGTTTAAATACAATGCAGATAACAAAATGCAAGAAAAGCTAGAATTTTATAGATCCAGAAACATTGCATAGCAGTTATGTTAAAAAAATAAAAAAAGAGGCAATACCAGTTAACATACCCGTCATGAGTCATACTTTTCAAGGAAATAAAAACAAGTAAAATACTGTGCTCAGAGTTCACAGTCTATGTCATACCAAGACTTACTTGGGATATTTTATAGGCATAACAACTGCTTCTTTAAGTAAGCGTTTAGCATTCTCTAATCCCTTAATGCTTTCCCACTTAACATCTGGATTCCCACGAACAATGTCCCTAAAAAGGACATGATGTAAGATGTTATGAAGTAAACAAAAATTTCAAGTTAAAATGTTAAAGAATATACCACCCAAGCAGTCAAATACAATAGCCGCAACTTCTTTTCTATCACCAATGAAGTTACCGATACAATAATTACCTACATAAACTCTCTCCTAAAGCACGCATTTCTGCAGATTCAAAAGCAGGAAGCAGAGACCTTTGCCTGAAAAAGAAACGAGAAAAGAAAAACATCAAAATCATCATTTTCTAAAGAACTGGAGAATCATAGAAGAAATTTAATCCGAGTGATCAGTTTGGACACTTAAATGTAGGAAAGTCACGAATCAGAGGAATGAATGAACATACGGTCTTGAATCAAATCCATTAGACACCGCACCATTTGAGTGCACCGAATTTGTATACTGAAGCCAAAATGAAACAACAATAAATCATTCCAATCAACAAACAAGCAAAAATGTTTTAAAAAAACAGAAAAGAAAAAAAATTAAATATTAAAATGGCAATGGGTAAAAAATAAAGTACCTGGTTTCGATACTGCTCGTAAATAGCCATATCAGACGTGTTCTTGACAGAATGGTTTCCATTTGAGGTGACAGTAGAAGTAGTTCCATTGGAGACGGGCGTATCAGCAGCTTGACCATCTTGCGGCTCAGATAATCTCTTCCTCCCAAACTTGGCATCATAAAACATTTTAAAATCCTATACGATAATAACATAATTGCTTCAAGAAAATACTTAAAACATTTTTTTCCTTTTTCTTCCCTACATTTCTTCATACTGTTGGATCAAAATTCACAAATTCAAAAAGAAAAAAAGAAGGAAAGAATCAAAACAATTCTTGAATCCAATGCAATATAAGCTAAGTTACGTAAATGCAGTTTAGTTTAGTGAAGTGAAATCAGGAAGAAAACAATGAATTTTCTTTTTAAAGTCTTTATTTTTCTTTGCTTCTGCAATTTCGGCAACCAAACAAGCAAAAAAAAAAAAAAAGGGAAAAAGAGAATACCAGAAAAGACCAGCGAGTGGGAGAAGGTTCTTCGGCCATTATAATTTGATTAAAATAAAATCTTTTTTTTTTTCTGAAGAGAAGAAGAAGAAGAAAAAAGAAAAGAAAGATTTTTTTCTTCTCTGTAAAAATTTACTCAGATCTGTCTCTCTTTCTAAGTGTAAACTACCAGAGGGAGGCGTATAGAGAAAAGACCACAAAGCATGTGCTTTTAAGAACTGAGGAGAGGAAATGGAAAATCAATTCAAGAATTTTTTTTTTTTTCCTTTTCAAACATATAAGAGCTGTCGCTATAGTGTTTTGGCTTTTTTAACTAATTTTCTATAGGAAAAATCGGAGAAGTGGAAATGGATTTGTTTCTAACTGTGCGTCACGGGCAAATAAGATTGCGTGTTTGGATTTCTCTTTTTGATGATGTGGCTTAGTGGTAACCGGCAAAGAAGTTACCGAGCTGTGACTTTTGACGAGTTTTATTTCGAGGTTGATGTCCGTCTACTTTCATGGGAAAGGAAATTTTGATATCATGGAAAATTAAATGTGTTGTTTCGAAGATATTCATATTGATCATTTATTAAAAAATTGTGAATTTAAATAATTTTAACTGTTTAATATTTGTTTAAATGAGTATTATTGGATTAAAAAAATTATATATATTTTTTAAATTCTCTGTTTGTGTTTTAATTTTAGAAATATGCAATTTAAACATGCATGAACCAGACAATCCCTTTTTATGAAAATACAATAGCCTTGGAGATTTTGCCTTCAATTAATATATATTAAATCTTCATTATTTTTCAATAAGTTTTCAAAAATAGATTATTAAACACCGATAATAGAAAAAGACCTTTCCACTAATGTCCTGGTAAAAATAAAAAAAAAGAAGAAAAACAGTAATTATATTATATAACATTATTACATATATATATATATATTACCATTTTTCAACAAGTGAAGATGTAAAAGTAAATTTAAAAGAAGAGAAATAAAAAATGTATATTTTAACTCTGAATCGTTCTAACATATACGCCATATTTATAACTTGTAAGTAACTTAGTGTAACGACAATTATTAGGGTCATATTTTAATTATTTGTCTCATGTGATATGGCCTATGAATGTGATACTAGTTTAATAATGACTAAAATATTAAAATTTTTTTGAAGTCTCCAATTTTATTTAAATAATTTTTTTGTTTTTATTGTATCTAGATAAATTTTTATCTTTTCATTTATATTCATATAAGTTTTTATTTCAAATAAAATAGTATTTTATATTAAAAGTTTATTTGAATATAAATTAAAAATTAAATGTTTATTTAAGATACAAATTAAAAATTAAAATTTTATTTCTGTAATAAAAATATATGAATTTATTTAAATAAAACGATCAATATCAATAATTTTTTATTATTTTCACCTTTATTAATATAGCTTTGTTATCTTATTCATAAATTTGTAGATCTACCATTAAATTATTCAAAAAAAAAAAGTGGTAAATAATAGATTCCACGTTTGCATAGTTAATTAATTTGATAATAGCTTTATTTTGCATATTAATATTGTAATGGCAATGAACCCATGTTAAGATTCAATTATTATTTCAACAGGATCTTTTGTTATGTTTAGAGGTATTCATAGTTTAAACTTCAAACTAGATAAGATTTTAACATTTTTAAAATTATATATTAAAATATCAATATTTTAATATTTTTAAATATATATTTTAAATTAAAATTTATTAATAATTTAACATCTTGAATCAGAATTAAAAAATTTTTGTTAAAAATTTAAACTTAAATTGAACCAAATCTATGGATGGAACAAATAATTCGATTTGTGAACTAGTTTAATTTTATATACAAAAGTCAATTAACAAGTGTTTCTAGTAAATGGCAGTAATTTATAAATGTAAAAAAGAAATATGTCAATTTGACAAGGAATATTAGAAATGTAGAATCACTTCTTGGACCTAGATTCTAACAAGTAATTTTATCAACTATAAAAGAACAAAGTCATATAATTAGGGTATTGGCTGAAGAAAGGCAATGCCATCGGTAGGTGCTAGTGTCACGGGTTGAGACTTAAGCTTCGAATTCGCGCAGTTTCAGGATCCGGATATTCACCATTCCGGCTTCTCAGATCAACCTTCCTGCTACGGTTCATACCCTTGTGACCGTTCTAGTCCCCCTGACCTCACGATTTTGTCTTACAAAAAATGTCTCACAAGGCGGAGGTGGTGTGAACCCTTATATACCCTAGTGACCTTCCTATTATGTTCGATATGGGATTCAGGACTTTGGCGCCTCACAAGACGGAGGTAGTGTGAACCTTTATATATCCCAATGACCTTCTTATTATGTTCGATGTGGGATTCAGGACTCTTCCTTAGATCCGTGACATTCTCCTGTACTCAACCTCGTGACATCTTCGTCACGAAAGCTGGCCACCCTGCCTACCTCCCTCGAGGTGCTTGGCGTGGATCGAACGATTTAGGGCTGGCTCTGATACCACTGGCCACCCTGTCTATCTCTCTCGAGGTGCTTGGCGTGGATCGAACGATTTAGAGCTGGCTCTGATACCACTTGTCACAGGTCGAGACTTAAGCTCCGAACTCGCGCGGCTCCGAGACCCGGGCATTCACCCATCCGGCCTCTCAGATTAGTCTGACCGTCACGGTTCACACCTTTATGAGGTATTGTTCGCTCTAATTCCTCTGACCTCAAAGTTTTATCTTACAAAAAGTGACTCATAAAACAGAGATGATGTGAACTCTTATATATCTCAATGATCTTTCTATTATGTTCGATGTGAAATTCAAAAATTTTTCTTAAGTCCGTGACACTAAAAACAGCCGAGCATCGCCTCTCAACACTCGAGGCCTTAAGAAGCCACGTAACTTCATTTTTTAAAGTTCAAGATTGGCTACCGAATGTTTAGCTGCTTTCAACTTTTTATTGTACAGTGAAAGCAAGAGAGAGTTGTCTTTTATCTCAAAATTTTTTTGAGATAAAAATATCATTCTGTTGTTTTAGTCTTTTCATCAAAATAACTTTTTCTTTGCCATAAAATATATAAAATATATATACTCCTTTACCAATTTTATCTCATTTCGTTTTATGTTGCATAAAGTAGAAATAGAAATTTTATCACTTTTTTGTGTTTATTTTTTCAATTGCTCATAAACTTTTTTTTATCTAAGTTCAACTTTTCAATATCAATTTCTTATTAAATTATTTAATCTTAAATAACTAATTTTATATATTAATTGGTATAATTACTTCTTGTTGATAAAATTTGTGACAATAAATTAAAAATAAGGTTATGATATTTTAAAAAAACCAACCAAAATCCTATACTAGAATTTTTTTATCTTAAAATTATTATTATATTTTATTTCTTTTATAATAAATTATCAAATACATTCATAATCAAATTTTTACATTTCATAAGTAAGATTAATAAAGTAATACATATTCCTTATGATATTATTAAAAAAATAAAAAAAAATAGGTGTAAGTTTTTTAACCCATTTATAAATTTTAAAAAATTTCATTAACAATATATCAAATAATTAATCCACTTTTATTTAATCATATCATCAATAAACATGCAATAGCTTTATTTATAATTAGAAAACGGTTTTTATACCATCAAAGGTACCACAATTTCAAGTATGTATAAAATTTTAAGGGTTATAATTTATATTATAAGTTAAGACATATTCACATCTATCAAAATTTAGTGCACTCACAATACAGTTGGTGTTATTTAAAAAAAGAAAAAAAGTAAGAATTTATGCATTTAAATAAAAAAGGAGTTATTTATGTAATTTTTTTTTAAGTTACACTCATAATTAAAATAATTAATTAATAAATTATAATTTAACTAAACAACCAAACTTACATACAGTGGGATTGAAATCTAAAATTTTAAGATTCTAAAGTTTCGTGCTTACCACTAAGTTAAGATCTTATTGATACTTATATAAATTTTTTTAAATGTAAAAGTAGGTAGCTTTTGAAATTTATAAATAAAAAATATGTTTAAAAATATAAAAAAGATATAAATATTTCTTATTTTATATTTGTTGTAATATTTATAATATTTTTAGATAATTCTTCAACTGAATTAATATCACGAACAAACATTTTAATAACAATATGAATATAAATAAATAGATAGATACAATTTATGATTAAAATAAAAAAAATTAGAACATAAAAATGCAAGTAAAGGTTTAAAGTTTTTATTAATTATTTATTTTATTATTTTATTTATTTTACATTTTCAAAAACTACTTTGAAGTAGAAAAAAATGTAAAGTAAAATTATAACTAATGAAAATGTAACATTGATTTATAATGTAAGTAATTAGTAAAAGTAGAATCATAATAAATTTTTTTTAGCTAAATAAAGTACATGTTTTATTTATAGATCTTAAAAAATATTGATTATGTTGTTCAAATATAGGTATTATTAGTAAAAAAAGAAAAACCAAATTTAGGAGAAACAAAACGCACCAAAAATAAGATACGAAACATTATTATTTTCTTTGAATTTGGGCTTCAATAGGTATAACACAGGTTCTTTTTTATCTTTTTCCTTTAAATTATCAGCCATAAGAGGGATGTTAAGTACTCCTTTTATTTCAAATTGTTTGAATGATTTTGATTTTCACGGAGTTTAATTTTTTTAAAATTTTAATGTATTTAATATTAAAATTAAATTTTTTTATAAAATTAAAGTTTTAAGATTTTTAATCTAAAAAAATTTTTTAATTAAAAAAACATAATTTTGATATATTTTTAAAAACTAAAAATATTGAAAAAGAGAGAATAATTTACTATCACGAGCAACCTATTTACAACTTAAAAAATAAAATTTAGTGATTTCATAAGACTACAAGTGTTCTAAAAGCAACGATCTATGTGGTTGCCCATAGCGCTTTTCACTCAAAATATAAATGATACATTAATATTTATAAGTTATTTGAATTTGATTTAAATAAAATTTAAATTTAACTCGATTATTATCGAATCAAATTTGAATTCGAGTAACTTAATTTGTCGATCGAGTCGAGTTTAAATATTTTTATATCTGACTCAAGTTATTTATAAATTTAATTATATTTTTATATTTTTATATTTTTTAACTATTTTAATTGATAAAATATTTCGAACTCGAGTTGAAGCTCGAATAAAAATAATTAAATTTTTATCGAATATAAAAATTAAATTTATTTTTATATATTAATTGAACTTAATCAAACGAATTCGAATAATTCAATTTTTATCTCAAATCA